CTTTTACCGAATTATACTTCTTGGAATGCAGATTTTCCAATGTTTACAAGTATCGTTATATTGTTTGGTTCACTGCATTTTGGCTATTGCAACTGGGGCTGAATTGGGAGAAGCCGTTGAAAATGAATGCACCTGAGTACCAAAGCAATTGTTTCATGTTGTGTTCGATTGCACTGCTTCGCGTTGTCATAATCAACATGGACGTCAATTTCAGTACATTCAGTGAGAAAACAATAAAATCATACTTGTAAATATGTTTACCTTTTTGAAAGGATAAAATTATAATTAACACCAATTTTACAATTATGTAAATTATGTTTAAATTTTTTTGGGACACCATGTTTTGAGAACAGCTGAGAAAATCTAACAAAGTACTATTATTGCCGAATACGATTTCAGTCTTATCGGCCAAATAGTATTTTGGAGTTTCTATTTGCTGATCAGCTATTCCGCATGCATAAATTTATCCAATTCAGCCGGGCTTATAACGGAATATGGGCATGCATGACTAAGGTTTATTTAAATGCCAAAATTCTCATTCCGGTCCCACTTACTTTTAACGCAATTATAGGAACTGAGTTTATGGCTTAATAATAAATGTCCTGTTTCTACTACTGTTTTCTGCTTATGTTTCTGATGATAAATCTACGACATCTGTCGAAACGCCAGGCGAATAAAAATATTTTCCTAACGATCAAATCATCTTCTTCTCAATAAATGCCCTGTCAATGCTCAAGTTTCACGGAACCGGGGATTGAACCCCATTCCTCCAAGGTCAGGGATTGAGCGATAACTGACTTACGATATATTGTGATTCAATAATGGTCACCAAAGTCTCTCCTGTGGATCCTTTAGCACACTAGAAACCATTCTAATACTAAAGAAATTGATACCTGTTACACCCATTATACCGCAAACGCGAAATCCACATTCAATTTAAAGTTTTTTTGTTGCAGATATTCAGGTTACAGTGCCCTATTGGTAACTGTTTAGGACTTATCCAGCTGATATACATGCCCAACATCCGTGGCAATCTAATGCTATAGGACGGCACACAAGCCAGTTTTCATTCCATTGAAACATTTTCCCGGCCATATTGCTCAAACGTCAACATAATTTGGACAATAACAACACAGAATAAAGGCGAACCCTTGGTCTGAAACGAGGGTTCCCTGAGCGTATTCTTTGAAGAATGTCAGGGATGGTCAGGTCGCAGTTTTCGAAGGGCGGGGAATGACACAATAGTTCATATGCAATTATGGCAAAGGAATAGACATCACCCTTTTGAGTTCCCAGTGGATATTGACATGGGTGGTGCAGTATTTCCGGTGCCATCCAGAAGAGATCTAAAGTAATACAGCATTTAAAAAAAATCAAAACTACGGGCTTGGAAATTTCGACAAATAGTATTTGAATGTTATTTTATATTCCAAGCTAGTGATTTCACGCAACAGAAACATAAATATTTAAAGGATTTTCTCTGAGAAGTTTGAGGAAGCTGAAGATAAAAGAGGGTCACTGATTTTAACATGCCTTGCGGGTGGCTAAAAGCGAAATCTGCCTATCAATTTATCATCAGAAAAAGAATTACGATTATTTTCCATCAAAGTTCCTTGGAGTGGAGGAATGCTTTTTCTGAGATGTAGGCGGTGTAAAAAACGATAAGTGTCCTGATCTGTCATGCAAATAACCTTTACCTCGCTAACATCCCGGTTGTGGGACAATCGGTTGCTTCGAAAACCTCTAACAAAGGCGATAGAGTTCAATTTATTGACCTTCAGAGTCACAACCGGAGAAGAACACAGCGTACTAGATAGAGACTTTGTCGACCGATTGGTAATTTAATCAAATGTTATCGTCGTCTTGCGAGTTCGGATCCGAAGATGGCACATGCGTATCCACACTTATGCGCAAAACTTGGGAACTAACTCTCAGTTAATGTATTGCCAAGACAAAGACCATCCCCAGATCTTTTTGCTCTTTATATAGGTAAAGACTGACTATTTAGAAGGTTTTTAAGAATCTGGTTTGTCATCCCGCCGGTATCGCATACGTTGCATTACATAACCACGATTTTAGTTAAAGTGATATATTTTCAGGTTGTGAGAAGCTATTCTGTGGGCCAGAACTTGCGGAACGCTCTACTACAATACTTGAGCTAAAAAATAGTCTTAACGGGCAACCTAAAGCTCTTCATCTAGGCTTCCTCACTCGCCTGGTAGATGGTGTGGCAGTACAAAGACTTGCATTTTCAGAGGTACGCGCGTGTGTTTAGTACTAACTTTCAAGTATTCGAAGTCATCTTTATTGTACAGAACGTGAAGCCTACCACAGACCTTTCGGGCCTTAGGAATTCGAGAACATTGAGCTTTAGAAGGCTACTGGAGAAGCTTCTTTGTTCTCCGGCTGCTGTCGCTCGTGCTTCAATAACTAACTGCACCCCATTTAATTAAATGCATTTTACGTTTCTAGTAAAAATTCCTGCCTGTCAAATACAAGGAGCATACAAGTAACAGGAAGCAATTTCAAAGGCATTTTTCAGTTTTTGCACAAATATGCAAACTAAGAAAATAGAAAAATATGAGACGGCCCTGAGGATTCACTCACCCTCAGAATCAGTTGGTTGGAAATCTCTGTAGCAATTCTGGACTTTGCCCACGCCGAAGTCGGTGATCTTCAAAACCCATCGTACACTGATAACGCAGTTACTAGATTTGAGCCTTCCGTGCACTCTCACGAAAGACTTCTGCAGAAAATGCATGCCCTAAATCGCGTTTGGAATTCAGCATCAAAACAAAGCGATAGCAGCATGCAAGAAAAAACAAACTGCTTGGTAAATATATCTGAAAGATAGCCACTTTACTACTTAATCCTTGTCAACAGCGATGGTGTACAACCGAGTATAACGCGTTTCATATTGTTCTTACTGGTCGCAGATACTTTTCATACTTTAACTTTCGTCTGCATGTTGTTCGCTTATGACAGTGAAAACATGGATAGGTCACATCCTTTGATGCTGGCGGCGTGGACTCTTAATGAAAGTCCGCAACCATGACTTCGCTATTCATGGAAGAAAGTCGAAATTCTGCGAAAAACCATAGGCTGGTGTGTCTCACCTCTATTTCCCGCAAGACCATTCTTGTGCATATATGATTGGCCTTGAGGTCATACTTTAAAGAGCTAGTTTACAACCGCTGCCCAATAGTGCGCAGAAAAATATCGAACAGACCTCGCTGATTGACTTCATTTTTTAAAACAGAAGTTAACAATAAGAAGAACGCGTGGAAATATCCCTCAGTAATACGGCGCATGAATCTCTCAGCCGTTGCAAGTTGCAGAGAACTGGGACAAAAGTCTCATTGTCAGATATAGACAGACCTTTGAAAAGAATTTGTTAAACAGTGCCATCCTAATGTCCTTTACAATTATATAAAGCAGACTACGCGGTACAATGTGCTATTCCCCTATTACGAACTCTCAAAGGTGCGGATATCTCAGAGGACTAGGATAAGGCTGACTGTCTCTCACAGACCCGACTTTTCCCCACCCACTTCCGCAGACGAAGTGATGCCTATTATCGGTACAGTCCTCCTCCCCAAACCAATGATTCAGGCGGAGTTGCTAAACCTGAAAGAATCGACCTCCCCAGGCCCCGATGCAATTTATGGAAGGACCTAGCTTCTGAAATGGCCAAGCAGCTGGTCTTACTATTTCAGACGTCATTTGATACTGTGTGCCTACGCTATGATTGGACGTCCGCTACTATCACTCTGCTATTTAAGCGTGAAGAAGAAAATTTTTGAATAGGTATAGGCCAATGAGTCTTGTCTTCATTTGTTGCAAAACCATGGAGAAAATCAGTACGAAAGTGTCTATGCATTATGACGTTCGCATATCCCTCCCTTAATACATGTGAATTAAACTACCCTTAATCATTGTTTTATATATGTGAAAACAGGATTTATTTTTACATCATTGGCCCAATCAATCATAGGGAGACCTTTGGGTTACCGAAAGATCGGCATTGACAATTTATGAACAGCTTAGTAGGCATCCAAGTGAAAAAGGATCTATGAGGTCTCAACTTGCACTCTTCCTGTTATATTGCTCAATGTTTTCTCCATTTGTATTTTCATTTAAAAGTCAGCTTGAAAAAGCAGTTAACATCCACGATGCGCGCGTTTGTTTCAATTATGTAAATGATGACCAAAGAGATTCCACCTTCCAGAACACCCTTAGGAACTAGTTTTATGGATAACTTGTCTAGTCTGTCAATCACGTCACTAGCAAATGATTTATGACATATTGTCAGTTGGACCTGGACGTTGTCTATAGAGAATTCGCACAACCAGGAACGCATTCTTATACCGTGAAATTTGTTGTTTGTAGAAATCAGGATTGAAGTAAAGAATCGGCCGTAGGAAATTTCTGGAGGTGACAGTGAGTACTATCGTGAGGTTAATATCTGTTGAACGGCCTTTACAGTCAAATAAATATAATGTATGTGGAGTTTGAGGTTTCCAAAATATTTATTAGGACACCAAGATTATGAATGGATACCTTGATTAAATCATTCAGTAGAGAAAGTCGGAATTCTTTATCCAAAGCAAGCGTTGGATGAGCCAGAACGTCCTAAAGGGAAAAAAATCTACAGAGAAAAATTATTCGCGAATCTGTGTTTGTTTTTTTTCACTACGGACATGATTAAAGTCACTCCTTTTAGGCCTATATAATACACTTGATGTAGTAGCTTAAATTTTATCTGGGAACTGGCTACAAATGAACTTTCTGGGATCTCATGCTTCGAAGTTCTCAAGCTGCGGTTGTTGATATTCATCAAATATCTTTTGAAAGAATACAGATGCAAAAATCTCGTAGCTATTCGAGATGAAGCAGTTTTTGGCCGGAGTTTCCTTAGTGGCTCACAAATGTTCTTATTTATATTTACATGCCTACTCAACGAATGTCTTTTAGGGTTATATTAAGGGTTAGGGTTAGGATTAGGGTGGGATAATGATTTCGTATATAAAAGCCCCAAGTTTCTGTCTTATGGGAAGCGTGGGAGTGGGCATGTAAATATAAATATGAACATTCGTGCGCTTCCAAGGAAACTCCTGTCCAGTTTTTTCTTCTTCGAAGGTTCACATTAATCATGGAGTAACTACCAGGTTACAGATTTTTACGCCTTGATGCTGCCAATAAAGCTTTTTGAGGCCGATTATCATGGCAGCCTTATACTTTCACTGATGCTCAAAACCAACCTGCAGACTCCCTCTGCTACAGTATTCATAAACCAGATAGGAGGATTTGCTCTCCAAATAAACTCCAATGAAAGGGTGGATGTTTTCATATTGAAGTTCACGGAGAGCACGCAAATGATCCATGACTTTCGATTTCAGTATTGTCTCGGGTACATCAGTTCGCTTAAGGTGAATTATGCTGCCCTGAAAGTAAAATAATAAGCGCAATACTTATTCCCCTATTAAAAAATAGTAGATTTGAAGCACAATTTGAGATCTTATGTCGACTCAGCTGTCCATCAAAGTAAGGTCACGTACTTAAATAACGCAGGCATAATAGTTTTAATCCGTGAACATGCCTAAATGAAGGTGCATTATCCTCAAAATATTTCATTATGATTGCGTGAGAACGATTTGATTAAGAGGAACTCTTCACATTTTATTGAATGATCCTAAAAATGATGTACATGTGACCTACTTACCACCTAGTCAACTCATGGATGTTGACAGCTTACCTTGTGCAGAAGAAAAGTTTGGAATGCTGCATTTCCCCCTGGGCACAGTGGTATGCCCTCAGACTGTGCCTCGGTGATTGCACTTTCAACGTTTAAACCATAGGAGGCAATTGGCTGGTCATTCTAAGTGTGCGGGAAAACAAAATCGCAGTCGAACATTTTAGTCGAGGAAGGAGTAAACTCACAATCTGGAAGGATGACATTATTTATCGGATAGTTTGTGTTTTGGATGTTATTGTTAATCAAATAGGGAATATTTCCACTGGCAGCATAAATGGTTTGAAAAGTTTTGTTGACAACTTCAGATTCATTTGGCTGCAGCCATTTTCACCAACTCCGTAAACGCTGTTTTTAAATTATTCTATCGTCAATACAATGTTTTTTTCGGTTTTAGATAACTTATGCTCCCCGTCTGCAGCTATTAAATTACTGGTAGTAACTCTCTTATAAACTATGCGTTTGTACAAACATGAAAGGCCGGAGCCATCTTTTAAATACAAGATTATCCTTAACGATTAGATTTGCCCACAGCCATCTTCCTGCTAATAGCTCCCTGTGTAAGTAGACGAAGATCTCAAGCGTTCTGCAGGCCAGCAAGTTTTGTGGGCCTGCACGCACGCTAATTAACGAACGTTTCTATCGGACTACGGTTAACGTAAACTACCATAAAGTAGTGGAAATTATGCAAATTGACTCTGAACTGCAAGTACACTAACAAAATGTTTTACAGAACTTCAGGAAAATTCTTCCATATACCTCCTCCGTTGGCAGCATTGACACTTTAATGGCCTCCACATCGTCAAGGTGTAGAATTAGTCTCTCCGGGCACTTTCGAATTGTTAGCATCTTCTTTTGTTTTCTAAAAACGAAATTAATTCACAATAAATCGCGCATATTTTTTCTTCATTGATGATTCTCAAATTATTCTGGACAACCTTAATGCGTTACGCTCTATTCTAAACACCAATTAGCACATTGTTAAAAGTAATAAGAACATTCAAACACATCGAGAAGGAACCAATACCCTGTCATTCTTGCTGACACTCACGATAGCAACAGTCAACCGACACGTTCTACTTTTATCCTATTTTGAAATCAAGCTACCAATCCATGGTCATTGAAACTTATAATGTTCACGGTTATCAATAACTGAATGCAAAAGGATCCTAGGTAAGATCTGCTCGACAGGTCTACACATCAGAATATATTATTATGATATAGCATTTTCTTCTGAAGATGTAGCAACCTGCAATCAGCATTCTTATAAAACATTTCCAGTAACACAGTGGACAAATATTAATGGTTAGGTTTTCCGTCGTAGAACCAACGAACTAAAGTTCTTCTGTTATCGTTTGGGATGGATTCACATCCTACAGATATGGCTACAAAAGTACTCCGTGCTCCGCAAACAGGAAGGAATTACGAAATTTAACGTGAGCCTTAGGAAATTAATCTTATATGCGAGCACAAATATGGATTTTTTGTCTATTACGCACACTGCCGCTATATGTCGAGGCTGGGAGTACCCCGTCCATCATCTATCATCACTCAGCCACTTCATGAAATCAGCATGGTACGCTGCTAATTGGCCTACGCCACTAAACGATACAACAGCAAATTATTTACTGACACGACCAGAACGACCGGTACCAGTTCGCTGCCTCAAACAATTCACCCCTACTTCATAGCGAGTGATCCCATATAGCCTAATTTTTTTCAGAAATTTCCGGTGAATTCTGGATGAGTTATTGCTTTCGCAGAAGGCTCCTTAGTTATCGCAAGGCAAAACCCAAATGGGCAATGCTCTTTACTAACCAATATTATGAAATAACCCGCGCCTGCCCCCTGGCAATAAAAGTGTGCGTTAGCAAGCGTGGGTGTCACGCGTATTGAGGTACTATTTAAAAAATAAGGGTGACCTTCAGTTTCATAGGAAAAGTAAAGAATAGACCAAAGGGAGGCGTCCTGTTTTGGTGGGCAAGGTAGAAACACAAAATGTAGGGGAACAGCACGCACATTGGTCAGAGGAAGGCTCTAAGAGAGTGGACGTGGGGAATTTTCAAACTTGGTCGAAAGGAGGTAACACTACCCGCCTTTTCTCCACGTAGGGTTCAGGTCCGATATTTATATCTTACCTACGCTCAACTTCTCTATGGTACACTACCAGCCACCGATGCAAATTGTCGCCGTCTGCTCCTGCCAGTAGCATTGACACCTGTAGTGCCGACCTTCGAGGAGGCAAATCCTCCAAAGCTCCCGCTTCATCAGCACGTCCATCGGTCACACACAGGACAGTAGCCCCAACCAAAATATCAGGACTCTCTTGACAACTACCCCTCATCCCCCCTAATAAAAGATC